AATTAGTGTATATTTTTAAAGTATATTTATAAATAAATTATTATTATATTTAGTATCACATTGAATGTTAACTCCTTTCTCATCTATCTTATGGTCTTCGCATCTTATAGCCAGATTTTTGTTGAAAATATATATTATTGATTTTAGTTATTGCAAAATATTGTTATTTATAACAATTTATTGGAAAAAATGGAAATAACTCCCTAAACTTTAAGGCGGATAGGTGCATTTCAGATCATTACTTTTTAAAAAATAAGCAGAATGCACCAGTTCTGAAGTAGTTCCACACATTTTAAAGAGAGAATGTGCTAAGTATATTTTTTTCCTAATTTATTTCATCAATTTAGAAAAAAAATTAATTATAGATACAAATATTAATATTATAAATTATTATAAATAAAATGTTTAATTTTATAACAAATTAATATGCACGATATTAATGGAGATAAGTTTGGTCAAAAGAAAATAATAAACATGAGAAAAATAAGATTAATTAAAAAATTTAAAATTAGTTTAGGTGTAACTTGTTTTAAGTTTATATGGAAGATGAGAGTAGGTTTTATTTTAGAATTAAAAAGGAGAGAAATGTAGCATAATCACCTCTCAAGGAGGAGGTTACTGTATTTTATATTCTATTTAAATGTTATATCACACTAATCAAGGAGCAACTGCTATGGGCATAATGTGAAAATGATATAAACACACACACAAATTTATTTATTTTTTTATCATAGATATCGATTTCATTGATAACCACTGAAAATCGGGCGACAAGCTAAGTCTGAATTGGACAGCAATAGCAATACATAGGGATATCCCTAACCTTACCAATAAAGAAAACAAAACGTCAAATTAACTCTCAGCTTCAGAAATTCTTCATGAAGTATATTAACTTTGAAGAGCTAGCCAAATACATGTGCAAAGAAATGCAAAATACATGTGTATACATGTGAAAGAAAAATTTGTCAACGCATGGAAATAATTGCAAAATACATGCGTATCCATGTGAAAGAAAAATTTGTCAACGCATGGAAATAATGCTAACGAGGGGCTAATGAATACATTTCCCCGTGAAAACATCATGCACGCAGAGTCGCGAGCTATCTTTTCGTGCAATTTTTTTTAACTTTGTATATAATATGATAATTTTTTAGTCTTTGTTAAGGAATATGATTTGGAGTTTAAAAATAAAGAAAGTTAATGACTTAGTCTTTCTAACTACTAACGTGATTGAGCTTACATCTGAATTTTTAAATTTTATTTTAATCCCTCAATCATACCTATATATGCATACTTTCTCTCGGGGTTCTTCATCCATGTATCTGCTAGAGATTATTACTCTTATTTGCATATAGCCATATACCTTTATTATATTTCTTGGTGGTTAAGAAACATGTCATTCCCAATTGATTCACCTTGGAGAGGGTGTGCTGCTAACTTTCCACAGCCTATAAACGATGATGATGAACGTGCAGCTCAGATTTTGATGGATACTGTTTACCACTTCAGTTGCTCTGAAGTTAGACCACCTTTGGTAGCCGTGCCAGATATCCAGTACAGGCATGAAAATGTTCGCTTTATTTTACTAGTTAAGTTCATCCTTTTCTATTGGAACTGCAATTTTAAGGTATAAGTTGGATTCATGTTTTAAAAAAGATTTAATCAAGTGAGTCTTTATATGTAGTTTCATTAAATTTTTAATTAGATCTCTAAAATTTAAAAAATTTCAATTAAGTCCTTATATTTTAGAAAGTTTTCAAATTGGCCTCAGGACTCCTTTATCGTTAAAAAAAATGAATTTAACGGAGTATTTCATATAATTCTTTAATTAATCAGGAATATTTTATTAAGTTTGACTTGTTTTGAAGTGGTAAATGGATCCATAGAACTGATTGAAAATTTTTCTAAAATATAGATACACAATAAAAAAAACTTTTAAACCATAGAAATTCAATTAAAAACTTATATAATAATTAAGCCTAAACTAAATTAGGAGAATTTGTTATTATATTCTTATATTATTATTATCCACCTATCTTAAATTTTCTGGATCCATTATCACTCTTACAGGGGCAGTGACAGAGAGGAGATGTGACCCGCCACGTGTTCCGTTGGGCCCCGGAACCTTACGAGGAGATATTTGAGAATGGGTTCCAGGCAAGGCTCCAAGAAGGGGTTCCCCATAGCATTTACTTCAATGTGGAGAACTACGTTCACAATGGTGGCAGGCCAGCCCAAAGAGGGAGATCCCAAAGGCATGCCTTCGTTGGCACAACTCTTGACAGTGGGTATCGCCCACCGCTAGACCCGGAGGAGCAGGAGACTAGGCGTTATAGGTATGAGATCTATGCTCCTGGGGGCATTTGGATAGCTGAGACACTTGGTGAACAATATCAATTTCCTGGTCAAGATGAAATTGCCTTTGTTGCTGGCATTGCACGCCAATACATTCGCTCTGCTCAGTTATTCATAGGCACGCGTGACGCTGCAACCGGGTTAGTATTTCATCCCACCCTATGTATCATCATCCATCTTCTTCAACATACATATGTTGAAGAACTTTAGAAGCTCGTCTTCAATTCTCCTATAAATATAAATATCTCCCCCATTTTAATTTTAGTGTCTTTTAATTTAAGAGTTTATTTAATTTTATTTGTCACTTTATATTTTTTAGGATATATTAATTAGTTTTTTCATATTTATCTTTATATGGATTTTCTCATATACTAATAATATATTGCACAATTCCTAGTTAAAGAGGAGCTACTTTGTCAATACCAATTATTTTCTTACGTGTAGTTGTATACTTTTAATAACTTCTTAGTCCAAATATCAAAATCTTAAAAGACTTAAATTTAGATGGACGAATCATCAAATTTACTATTTAAGTATATTGTGGCCAGCTTTTAGAATTTCAATACATCGATTTGTTTGGTGCTCAATTCAATTGTAAGAATAAGGAGTATAACATTACTCTAACTAATGAATAATTCTAAATTTTTATACTAAATATTTCTACAATTCTCTTTATATACCAAAAAAAAATAAGCATTATACATTTTTTTTAAGATTTTAAGACATTGATTACATTTGCCTTTTTTTCTTTTGTCCCATAATTTTAGTTTTAAAATAATTTAAGGAAAGATATAGTGTAAAAAAAATATACTGCATATATATATATATATATATATATTATAGTATAATTTTTCATAGTTCACATGAGCGTGTGAACTGTGAAAAATTGAAGTTCCACGTCCATTGAAAATTGGCTAAGTGAATACTGTATAAGATGGGAGAGCTAGAGATCCACTGTTTTAAGATTTTGAGTCATGATGTGGTATCTAACCCACTTATTTCTTTTCTCACTTAGTAGTTAGTACGGTCATTTCAGCTGGGCTTCCCCGACCCAACAAAGCATCCTATATATGTTATCATTACTTTCAGTGACTATATATTATTTATTTTCATTGATCGTCTTTTACCGTGCAGGCATCCAAGATGGAGAAGAGCGGACAACAGAATAATACTAAAACACATCCATACAGAATGCTCGACATCCAAAGGCCAGTATTTGATTACAGGGATGAAGATGATCATCGCAGCAGGCCCTTAACCATTGTAATCTTCAGACCACAAAGACAGAAAAGACAAGTCTTAGGCTCAGAGAATGATGACGATGCTATGAATTGGTATGCGGATAAGGTAGCAAATGCTCAGGGCTATATAAATGCTGCATTCCGTTCATCTAGGACAAATGAAGCATACATATTCATGAGAAATGAGTATGTATTGTTGAATTATGCTCCTGGAACAACGGATGACAAGATTGTAAATGGACCGCTTCTAATTTGTGATGGGTATCCGTCTCTTACTGCCACAGCATTTGGTGAATATGGAATAGATTGTGCTTTCAACACTGATGGGAACCAAGCCTTCATCTTCTCTAGCAACCTTTGTGCCTTAATAGACTATGCTCCAGGAACTACTGATGACAAAATACTCTCTGGTCCCATGGCAATTGCCGCCATGTTTCCCTTCTTCAAGCATACAGTGTTTGAGAATGGCATAGATGCCGCCTTCAGGTCATCTAGGAGCTATGAAGCTTACTTATTCAAAGGCGACCAATATGCTCTTATAAACTATGATACCAAGAATCTCATTGCAATCCGGAAAATCACTGAAGGGTTCTATAGTTTGAGAGGCACGATATTTGCGAGTGGAATTCAAGCTGCTTTCGCTTCTCACAGGACTGATGAAGCTTACATTTTCAAAGGAACACAATATGCACTTATCAATTTTGCTCCAGGAACTACTGATGACTACATCATTGGTGGTGTGAAGCCAATGCTTCCTTATTGGCCTTCTCTTCGTAGCATATTGCCTCGCAACAATCGTGGGCTTGATGGTCATGATCATCACCGCAATCCAGGTGCTGATCATGGTCACGACGAACTCTGAGAACAATGTTATTTGTATATCAAAAGTGGATATAAAAAGTGGACACCATAGAGAGAGATACACTATATTCTATGAAAGAAATTAAAAGGAATTAAGGTCTGTGTATCTCTCTGACATCCACTATTAATGTCTATTTTGGTATACAGATATTACATTGCTCCTTATATATATATATCCTATACCATATATGACGGTATGATCAGAATAAAGTCGTGTGTTGTTGTTGTTTCCTCTTTTTATATATATCAATCTCCTATACCATGTATGATGGTATGATCAGAATAAAGTCATGTGTGTTTGCGTCTTTAAGAAATAAGAGTAACGTACCTAGCATGGTTGTGTGCTCCAACTTTGTTTTTCTTCTTTCCCATTTGCTTTTTACTAAGAAAAAAGCCTTCGTTCTAGCTCTCTTTATTCAAACTCATCTGCTAGAAGTTGAAAAACATTAAATAAAACACGTCTAAATCTCCTTAGAATTCACTGCTAAAAACGAATGATAAACAGTCAAAATAAAACAACTGAAGGCCGAAGACAATGGTCACACAAACTTCTAGTAGGTATAGCCCTTGACAAACATTCCCTTCTTCGCCTCTTCACTTTCACCCTCGGCAGAGTATCTTCCAAGTTGAGCCAAGGAGTTTGCTTTAGCGCGGACCAAAAGAGCCTTCTGAGCAGCTTCCACATTCTCAGGGCGTCCTTGCCAAGTCTTAAGCACGGTGTTCTGCAGAGCTCGTGCATATGAGAAAGAAACATGCCATGGGTTGGGACTCTGGTTCGTTGCATTGAGATTTAGTGTTGCTTCTACTTCGGATTGTCTACCTGACAAAAGCTGAGAATAAAAACAGAACATTGTGAACAGCTTAATTTAGGGGATCCAAATTTCAACTTCTAACTCAAGTCAAGTGCAATCTTAAATGAAAAATAATTGAAATTAGCATCATCACGATGAACGATGCATCCATTCAGATTAGAAAACAATTGAGATGATAGCAGATATACAAAAGGTGACGTATATATCTTTAAAGGATTCTGAGTTCATGTAGTCCTGAAAATGTTGCACAGGAAATCTGATAATCACAACAATTTATATGAAGAGGACAGAAAAAGTGTGGCAACTGATTCGTGGGACAGCAGCAGGGACTCTTCTTCTAAGCATGGTTAGAGTATATTTGGCAATGGTTTCTGGAGAAGCCTTCTCCTTGTGTTCAGCTCCAGGCGTAACCATAGTTAGAGTATATTTGGCAATGGTTTCTGGAGAAGCCTTCTCCTTGTGTTCAACTCCAGGCGTAACCATGCTAGGTTTGAGCAAAATTCCCTAGAAAATGACATTGTTTTTGGCCAAATAGAAGAAGACTTCTGCGACCTTCTCAGCTACTTCCACTGTCCTCTCAATTGGGTGGTCTCCATCATGAAGAATTTCAGGCTCTACAATTGGAACAAGACCCAACTCCCGCAACACAAATGGAGCCAGGGATGAGTGCAGTGTGAGGGAAAGAAAACTTTGCTCCAGATAAACAGTAGACATGGATTTTATGTAAAACTTGTTAATTTTTTGTTGTTATATCAGTACTTGTGTAAATAATAGTAGCGATTGTTTATTTCTATATTTTTGTATTTTTTCAAAAATATTATATTTCTGTATTTTTATTTTTATTATTTAAAAAATACATTAAATTTGTTACTTTTTTAAAAACTTTGACAAAAATTATAAAATTTATTAAAAAAACATGTCAAAGATGTTCAACAGTATTTTAACATAAAATGTAAAATTAATTAAATTGAGAAAAAATTTTAGTTAAAAATATTGTAATATTTTTAAATAAAAATAATGTAATATATATGTATATCTAAAAAAAATATTTTTAAAAATATGTCACACTATAAAACTTGTTTTACAATATATCGTCTTGCAACAAAAGTATAAAATTTTTTAAAAGTTAAAAGATATTTTGATGGTCATCAACATAATAGTATTTATTCATTCTTATTGATTTGATTGAAGAAAGAAATTTTTTTCTAAAAGTCAAAAGTTCTTATTAAACTTTTGTGGTAGAAAAAGGACCACGTCTTATTAAAGAGAAAACCTTGATAATCGATGGCATTGATACATCTTTCAAACTAAACTAAAGAAGATCTTAGGTTTTGAGGAACATTTTTTGACATGTTTCATGAAAACTAGTAGGAGCCTTAATTTTGTCAAAAAATAAGTCACTCTATTTAGTCAAAGATGGAGTCACATTTTGAGGAATTTTAGAGGGTCTCAAGAAAAGTTCCATTTCTAGTTGGAAAAGAAAATCACATCTTGAGAAACTTTAAAAATTTTGACTCTAAGGTCAAAAATATCCATAACCAGTTGACAAAGAAGGCCTCCAACAAATCTAATTAAAAATTTGTTGGAACCGAAATTAATAAGGGAATCATTCTAAGTCCAAGAGAGAGCTCATAGATTTTTCTTAAAACTTGTTAAAAAAGAAATTGACAAGAGAATTATTCTAAATCTAAGAAGACAGAATAAAACTCAAAAGATGAATAAACATATTGAAAGAACTATAAAACTAGAACTATAAAACTTGAAGCAACTACAAAAGCAGAAGTCATCAACGGTTATTACTAGTTGAAGGTTAGAGACACGAAAAATCGATCTGGACAACAATAGTTATGGAGAAGGCATGATCACTAGCGGTCATAGACAATACAATAGTGATTAAAGACAAGTATTTACAGAAGACAATTAAAGACAACTACGTGAGAAGACAGTTATCAAGAGATCCATAAAAGAAAAATGGTTTAAACGCATCTGCTTATAAACAGTACCAAACTTTACATTATAAAGGACTTTTTGGCACTAGATACTAGCACTTAAAATTCTTTACATGCTAAAATTCAGCATTAAGCCAAACACTAGCTATTAGAAGATTCACAATTGTTATTGTTCATTGTGAGAGTTGTATATCTACATTCCTGCAATTTATTCCCTACAATTTAATTCACTTTCAATTTGCTTTTTATTTTATAATATTTTTACATTTAGTTCAATACTGGTTTCATTGTTCTACTACTTTTTCTGGTCAATTTCATATTTTACGACGTTGATTTAATCACTCCAATTACAACATAATTAAAATAACCTAAAGATGACTTAAAATTTAGTCTTAAATTATTCTTAAATTTAGATATTTACCAATTACAATTTTCACTCTAAATATAATTATAAAAGATTAAATTCATTTAAAAGGTTTTGAAATAATTTTTTTAATTAAGAAAGTGTTTGAAATTTTTATTAGAATAAATTATATTTCTAATAATTTTTATTTATTTTATAAATCCTTAATGTATCTTGTTAAAAAAATTATTATTTTTACTTATTTTAAGAAGTTATTAATTAAATTAATGTTATAAATTATCATTCAAATAATTATTGAATTACCTGTTTATCTAAGCATACTTTAACTCTTAAAGTTATAAAAATTGTTTATTAAAATTCTAACCATGTTTTTATTAATATGTATAAGAATTTAATAAAAAATATTTGAATAATTTAAAATTTTACATAATTACTAAATTAGTAACGTAGTGACTAAGTTATTTGAAAAATAATAATATAGTTCATTTATTTAACAAAAGACCTAATCAAAATGTCATGAATTTAATTATAAACTTTAAAATATTTAAAATTGTAAAAATGTTTTTAAAGGCTTGCAGAGACCAATAATGAATTTATCTTTTTGAAAATTTTAATATAACCTTTTAAGACTATTCTTTTAATTACTTTTCTAATTAATAAATCTTTTTAATTAGTAAAGTAATTTTTATTTCAAATTTAATTTTCTTCTTATTAATGTGGTGATAGTAATTAATTAATAATTTTTGAAGCGATGAGATTCATCTTAAAGAGAATTTTTAATGTGTTTGATTTTCTTTTACATTTTTAGCTCTTAAAAGAATCAAAACAAAAATATACTATAAATTCTGTATTATTATTATTATTATTATTTAAATTTTTACTCAATTTTTTGTTTTTTCAATTTTTTTTTTTAAAATTGCAGCTCAATCCACTGATTGATATATTTTTTAAATAATTGCTAGAAATTCACATCTTAATTTGTGGATAAAACTCAATTATAACATAGATAGCATTTAAAAATTAACTAAATCTAAACAAATTTATGATATACCGCAATAAAAATAAACCATAAATTTTTAAAACTTATTAATCAAACTATTAAAATATTAAATAAATAAATAAATATTAGGAAAATATGTTAGGATAAAAATATTTTTTTGAATTTTCTATAATAACAATAATTATTATTTAATATAATTTTATTTTTAAATTTATCTAAATAAATATAAGATTTTCTTTAAATTTTTTCTTATTTTAACTTCTATTTTCTATATATTTTATTTTACATCTACAGGTAATATTGATGTAATTAAATAAAATATATATTTTATGTAAACAATGTTGTGACATTGTGTGAAAAAAATAAATTCGACATCTCAATTTTAAAATCATAACTCGCAAAGTGTATAATAAAAAATAATTATACAAGTACAAGTAATATGTTAATTTTACTAATAAAATTATGTCTCTATATACATATAATTTAGATTGAATTGGATTAATTTAAAAATAGATTTTGAATCTAGATTAATAAAAACTTCGAAATTTGTGATTTTAATTAATTATTTATTTTTTGTAATTTATATTAGATTAGATTGATTTATAAATATTTTTTACGGCAGTAATAAAGTTATACTTAAGAGTACAAATGTGTTTATCAAAAATAGAATTGACGTACAATTTATTACAAATGTGACTTATCACACATCAGTAAATCTTTAAAACTTACATTATCTTAATAAATTTAAAATCGAATCCCTTATTTTGATAAGAAAAAACGAAACTAGTTAGGTAAACTTATAATTATTAAATGACCATATAAACCCTGTTAGATTGCCTGCAAATAAAATTGAAATGGGATGATAATTTTCTTTTTCCATAAGAATGACATGAATTGAAACAACACTGAACCACATATCACCCTCAACCTCAATTCCACCATGTTCTTCAGAGTTTCAAACTTTGTTCAAAGCTCTCACGAGTCATAACAATCCATCTCCTTTCACTATTTTTTTTCTCCTTTTTCTTTTTCCTTTGCTTTAGCAGAACCCACTTCTGCAAAACAAACAAGCAGCATGTCCCAGAACGGTTCATTGGAGCGCAGTGCCCAACAGCAACCTCGACCCTCGAATGGCGATTTTGTTGGGGATGGTTCCAACAGGCTCCTTGCAAGCCCCAAACGGGACCATAAGCCCGAAAACTATGAAGACCTTCAATTGGAGTTCAATCATCTTATGTTCAGTTGTCTTGAGCAGTATATGCCACCTCACATGCTCAACCTCTCTCGTGATGTTAAGGCTAACTACTTAAGGAACATTCTTCAGCGCTATTTGCCTGAGAGTGAACGCATTCGGGTGGGTCTTATCAAAATTTGGTTCTTAATTGTTGACTTCACTTTGATCTTAATTATCTTTAAAATTGTCACGCTCAGATGGATGTTGGAGTTTGGAAGCCTTGCCTTTTTTCATTATTTGCATAAAAATTTGATTTTGATGTTGCCCTTGATCAGCGAGCCTCGTTTGTTTGTGGTAGTTTTGTTCTGCCCTGCATTGTTGCTTGAAATGGCGAGATTCTGCGTGAATTGTGAGAAATTTTGGTCCTTTTTTCTGTTTGGAAATTGATAAAAGTTTGCGTTCTTTTTGGTTTCATATCCCTTGACAGAAAACATTTTGGATGCTTTTATTCTTTTGACTTCTGGGTGGTTGCGTATAGTGACAATGGTCATGTCTGTTTAACCCGTCGGTTTCTTATCAAAGACGTGGTTCCAAATCATGTATGTTACAGTTGTGTCTTCTTTGTTCTCAGTTATGCTTCGTGGCTATTCTGAAAATAAGACATCTGCTGTGCATGTTAATGGATACAATTTGTTAAATTATTCAATGATTGCAAAATTGACTGAAGTTAGACATGTGTATCTGTCATTAGATTTGCTAGATTACTTTGTTATTCCTTGAGGTAGAAAATTAAGATTGAGAGAATATAAAACTGCTTTCTGTCTAATGAGTTCAGGAAGAGCAAACATATTTGTTTAATTAGAAGACACTTTCTGAACTCACTAGATTGAATAATTTAACCCATCACAAACTATTATTACTAAAACATAATAATAATATATTTATCAATTGGTCTTATATAAATTAATAAATAATATCATATTTGATATTAATAATTTAAATAAATATTTTAAATAATTGATTAATGCTAATCTACAATTAAAACAGAATATTAACATTAATAAAAAAATATTAATATAACATTTTATGGAAGCTTAATATTCTCAAGCCTCTTGTTCTGGATGGTATGGATTTCTGTCTGTAGTTGTTGTAGGAAATGTAATTTTCGTCGTGTTGGTATCACTTAGGTGCCTTTCCTAGAGCAATCTCTGAAATTCTATCTCACTTTTTGAACTTACTTCCTTATGTGTCTTGCAAACTGCCAAGAAATATGTCAGGTTTAAGAGTCAATTTCTTACTCTAGAATGTGTGGAAAGGGCATTCTTTAGAATTGCTAAATTTAGCCATGGTACTAATCATTTGTTTTCTCGAAGCTAGATAAAAACCACTGTTTGATTTGATCACTCCAAGATATAAATCTTATCCTAGAATGTAGTTAATTACGAATAATGGGTAGTAACTTGAAGGTATAAAAATCCTCGATCCTCTAAATAAAAATAAAATAGCAGATTAATATATTTGCAAGTACATTTCATATCATATGTTATTTAGTTACCGGTATTTCAAATATTACTTGTTAGCCAAAAAAGGTGATGATTAACGAGTCCAATATTTATTGTCTAATGGTAATGAGTTTTTCTTAGTGTGACTGTGGAGATGGTGTTTCTTTTTTCCTGGTATTTTGCCTTTGGCTTGATTTTGTTGTTTAGTTTGCTGAGTTTTTGTTATTCTATGTTGGTTTGAACAGATTCAAAAGCACAAGGAATACAAGCAAAAGATCTTATCAAACTATCGAGTAAGTTTTCTGCTGAATGTCAGAACAGCCATTTTACTCATTTGTAGTTTGAAAATTTTGATGGTTTCATTTATGATTCTTTTGGAAATCATGGGAGATGCTGATGATGGCATAATTTCTATTAGACTTCTAACGGGAGACATCTTTTATTTGGTACTTATCTATGAGTATTTGGAATCAGCACTTGTTAACACTATAATTTTCTGAACTGAGAACAATCATCCTGTCTTCTTTCTGTATGTAGCACTATCATGTATGTGCCGATCATGCTTGATCTTACAAGTGATTCACTTTTGCTTGTAGCCACTGCATAAGGAGATATATAGCATGGATGCTGAGAAATTTTTCACACCATCATTTATCAGAGCAATTAAAGAAAATACCGAAGCAAGTTTTAGAAGCATAATGGCCGAACCATCTAGAGGAATTTATACGTTTGAAATGCTTCAACCACAGTTTTGTGAATTGTTGGTATCTGAGGTATTTCATTTCTTTCCTTTCCTTTTCCTTTTCATGCATATATAATTTTTTCCATTCTATGTTAGTGTTTTATGTTTTCTTATCAAGTTCTGACTGTTTAGGTGGAGCATTTTGAAAGATGGGTCCACGAGACCAAATTCAGAATCATGCGACCTAATACAATGAATCAATTTGGTGCTGTTCTTGATGATTTTGGCATGGAAACCATGCTTGACAGATTGATGAATGATTTCATATCTCCTATATCTCGAGGTTTTTCTTTTCATTTTTCTTGATGAGAACAGAGAAGAAAATTGGGACTGAGATGAAGAAACTAATAAAATGATGTGCACTCACTTTTGCAATATGATTTTTCTTTTTTTTTAATGCAGTTTTCTTCCCCGAACATGGTGGATCCTCTCTGGACTCTCATCATGGTTTTGTTGTTGAATATGGAATCAATAGGGATGTGGATCTTGGTAGGTTTATCAAACTTAGGTTAAAAATTATGTGGATTTTCTATTTCCTGGAATATGCAATAAATCTTTTGAACCTAAATGGAGCTTAATGCTTTAAGCATCTATTTATGGTTTTATATTAATTTAATTTAATCATTCTCTTTATGATATATGCATTTAACTGTCATCATGCAGATTTTGATTCTTTTATTTGACCAAAGACAAAAGGATAAGAAAACAAAAATGCATTAGATTTTTCTGATTGTCTGAAATATAGAGATATTGTTTTCAGTTTTGTTATATTTTTTAGCCTCTCAATCCCTTTTATCCCCTTTTAGTCGTTTAATTTCTGTGTAGTAGGATATCTTATCTTTCCCCTAAGGATGTTTTTGGGATGGATGGGGTAAAAAGGTTTGGGAATATACTCTCTAATTTGCATTTTTTTAGAATTGAAGAAATAACATGATAATTTATCATGAAAATTCCAATCATCCCTTATTTTTTAAAAAATGAAAACTTTAATGTCTCCTCCCTCTTGCTCCAAACCCTCCGTCTAAATAACTGAAGTTCACTAATCCACTGTGGAGTCTTAGCTAATTCAAGTTCCCTTTGTCAATGATACTTCGGTCATTTTGGCTTATCTACTGTTAAATTTGAATGTATCTATTCTTTTACTTTTCAACAGAAAATTGCCTCTTGGTGCCAATTAGATACTTCTCTTCATAGATTCAATTCCATACTAGATCTTTTTCCTTCTTTTATTGCTTATCTTTGATGCTTACATATTTTGTCTCAAATACAATCTTCATATTGTAGCTTTATTTTCTTTGCTGCCTGTCTTTCTGTTTACCTCCCTCCCAACCCATTAGCTTTATGTGCTTTTGTTGAAATCTGAAAAGAACAATATTTTTGCAGGCCTTCATGTAGATGACTCAGAAGTCTCCTTAAATATTTGCTTGGGAAAGCAATTTTCTGATGGAGAGCTGTTCTTCCGGGGTGTTCGATGTGATGAACATATAAATTCAGAAACCCAACCAGAGGTGTGTTATGGGAAGATTGTATTAATGCTCAATGGTTTATATTTAACTACATTGATCTCCAGCATGAATTTGAATTCTATTTTAAACTTTAAAAGTAGCAATGGCTGCCGGTTGATGAATGGTACCCTTTTGGTGTTCTGGATTGTTGTCAGAGTCTCGTATTTTCTCTTCCTAAAAACTGAAGAAGTCAAACTCCATTTCCTTTTGTCATGTGTTTTGTTCTGAATTCTTAAGTGAGTTGTGGATGCATGATTGAGGCAATAATGCAATCCTAGGCTGATCTTGTCTTGACTTAGTATTTATTTCCCAAGTACATTAATGGACAAAAACATTGTAAATTTTGAGTTGTACATCACGTTATTCATACCAAAATTGAATAGTATTAGTGAAAAGTACACGAGTTTCAGAAAACATTTACTTTTTAACATATATAACTCCCAAGCATATCTTTGCAGGAGATCTTTGGTTATTCCCATGTTCCTGGACGTGCAATTCTTCACAGCGGTCGTCACCGGCATGGTGCTAAACCTACAACATCTGGGAATCGGATCAATTTAATTCTTTGGTGTAGAAGGTAAAATTTGCATCACTTTTTTTACTACTTGACGAAATTCACACAGTATAGACCCTTGCTTCACTGAAACAGCAAAATTTTTCACCTATGCCCCCTTGTGACTTTGATTGAAAATTTGCAGCAGACGCTCTTCTTTTGCAATCTCAACTAATGACACTGTTGTTATTATTATTATTATTATTATTATTGAGCTTGATCTAAATGCAAAGTCTCAAGCCAATTATTATAAGCATATTTATGGTGAATTACATGTGCATCAATCTTCATGTTGTAGTTCGGCTTTTAGAGAGTTGAAGAAATATCAGAGAGATTTTTCTAGCTGGTGTGGAGAATGCAAGCGCAAGAAAAAGGAGAGAGAGCGCCAATCAGTTGATGCCATCAAATTGGTAACATTAACAATAACAAGCCTTTGATATGAAAGGAACCACTAAGATTAATCTTCGACGAAAGTAATTCTCTGTGTCTTCACTTTGCAGGAATTACTGAAGATGGAACTTAAATCAGCCTCGTGAACGACTTGTAAATCGTGCTTATATAGCTGAATCACTGCTGAGCTTCAGGATTGTATTCAATCATATGAAATAGATTTAAGTTGAAAGTAATAGGCATGCATTTCATAATGTTGATGAACTAAAGAGAAAAATAATTATACTTCAATATTTTAATGTTTTTAACTTGAAATGATGAATAGGAATATAGTTCCTGATTCTTTTGTTTTTCCCGTTTCGGCTATGCCTCTTTTTATTTGCTTTGAACATACTTTCCAATTACATTCAACGGTTCAAAAATCTTATTTTGACATATATTTTAATAATTTCCTTTAAATTATAAAAAAAATTATCTAACTTTTCATACTTTTCCACAATGTTACATTATTTTTACCACTTCTCAATTAACTTTTCGTTTGAATCCAACAACTCTTAAAAGACTTGAATAGATTTGTTGAAATGCTCTCCGATAAAGTAGGGATGTTACTCGAGTTGTTTTGATGGTTACTTATTTCTAGCAACTTGCATTGATGTTTGATGTTGGCTTTTAGACATTCATATCAAATACAACCATTTTCCAAGACCCCCAGAAAAACCTTTCTACAAATCCCCAAAAAGAACAAAACAGCCTTCTATTTTTATTTTTCTCGGTTTAGATCACATAAATTTATATGATTGGTTCCTCATTATTGAGACTAGGATTACAAAACCAATAAAATTAAGTGAGTGGAGCAAGGTTTTGTGCCTGGAATGAATTGTTCAACCAGCATTTGCATGTGGGATAAGGTCCAAAGTCTCAATCGATTACAAACAAATATCTATCTATATACAATGGGTTGCTGAGCTGTTTCATGTTTTGAACTCGTGCATCTCTCAGGCTCTTGGGTATTGTCAACTTTGACTGAAAAGAACACTGCCAATAGAAGCATTAAAAAGGCCTTTGATATAACCATTCAAATGTTCACTCTTTAACGTAGCCAACCTGACAACTCCATTGTGAGTTGAGACAAACTACCTATGATTGATTTTCTGGCACGACAATAATTGAAGACTTCTTTGCGCAAACGTAAAATCGAGATAAGCATAGCTGTTCAATGGAAGGCTTCAAATAACACTGGGTAGATAAACATAAATATAATCTTTCTCATATTATATATATTCAAATATACCATATTATATAAAATGAAAATAAGTTTTATTTTTCATGTTTAAGAAATAATAGAGTAGCTTACAGTTTTCATGAGATATTTACGTGTATTATTCTGGGTTTATGTTCTTGACGTTAATGAGATTTATATAGTAAAAAAGTAAAAATATATTTATTGTTAGGTTGAATTAAATCATCTTATTAATGGTAAACGAATTTTTACTTTTTTAAATACATCTTTTCAGTTTAATGGAGTTAAATGGCTGATGGCTATTGGCTCCATTGCATAACTAATGCAAATCTAATTATGAAATCTACGAAGCTCCGTATCGTGTTCCCCCTTTTTAAAGCTTTGATATATGAAAGTAGATGTGATAAATTTAAATTTACCGTATAAGTCTTAAAAAATGTTTACACATTTTTTAATCTTTGTCTGATCTTTATATAAATTTGTGAGTATTGATTCTTGAATGAGAGTATGCTTTCCATTTAAATAGAAACATTTTTAGAGATTAATTTATCTTTTTGTCATTTAAAGTAACTTTTTTAAAATTAAATATTTATTTTTAATTATAAAAAATTAGATTTAGACTTTTTTATTTTAAAATTTAACTCTCTATTTAGTTTAATATAATGTTTATTATTTAAAAATTTGTATTCATAAATTATATATAGGAATTGTATATAAAGTTATATTAAAAAAATACTTTTATTTAAGTGTTATCAACCTTTATATATAAATTATAAGTACCAAATAAGAGCATTTTTAAGAGTATTATCAAATGGAAATAATTTTAGGGGTTATCTTTAATGATTTTTTATATTGTGTATTTATTTATTTTATCATTAATTTAAACTTTAAAATTGTATATAATTTATTTTAAATTTTATTTATTATATAGAGTATTTATTATTTATAATTATAATGTTTTTTAAAAATTATATAATATATTTATATTTTAAAATTTTTTAAAAAATTAATTCAAAGGGAAGTGCATGAAAAACTACTAATTCTCAAAATACTCTAATAAATATTTACGGCACAAATACAAAATATTTACGGCACAAACCATCTAATAAATTGTTTGAAAATAAACGTAGTGTTTGTTTAAATTGATGTAAAATTCATTCAAACATGAACTTATTTTAATTTAATATGACTTTTACGTTGAAATGTGATTTGCTATTATTTTATTTATAAACACAGTTATAATATTATTAACTTGTTAGATTTCAATCACAATAATAATATTAACTGCATTGTTGATACAATCTAAAACATAAAATAAAGTTGAAGAAATAAATTTTAAAAAATAAGATGTATTATTTTCCTCTCCTTTTCTTCCTATTTTATGTAAACATTTTTCTTGCTCTTCGTTGACCTCTGATATTTTTGAATGAGTCGATTCTTTTTGGAAGTAAAAACAGAGATATCGAATATGGGCCTGTGTTCGAAATTCATAATTATGTTTGTTTTCATTTTGTGAGATTGTCTCACTCCATTCATTCCATTATTGCAAAAGTGTTTTGGTGCTCAAAAAGACTGAACCAATCGCCCATCATCTCTCTATTCTTTCTTTCTTTCTTTCTTTCTTTTTTAAGGTGTTTATTTTCAAATCGACAGTAATACTTAATTTAATATCTTAAAAACTTTATTATATATTTAATATAAGATTAACAAAGTTAATTATGCCACATGTAAAAATATAAAATGTTTTCTTATAAAAGGAAAAAGTATAATTTAAAAAAACTAGTAATTGAATAAAGTAATGGTAAATATATTACATGAACAGGACTAAACCTGCATCCTGGATAGGAGTAGCAAGGTACACATATTGTTTATTATTGGGTCTTAATCTGAAGGACTAAGCGTGAGTGGAATGAATACACTTTGTGGCATATTGATGTTAACGTTTGTCATCATTTTTAGCTATTGTTGTTAAATGTTACCTACCTGTTGAATGAATATGTATGACCCGTTCAACGACTCTTCCGTACCTAATATTTTTTAAGAATCTTCTGGACTTGCTACTTCCTTCCACTAACTAATTGCGCAAATTTACGGCTTTTCATCATAACACTTTCTGAACCTTCGAACCTAAGATTGAATATCATATTCAGGTTAAGCTTGTTGTAACATTATTGAATCTGTTGTCTCTGTTATAATGCCAACTCACTACTACCTTGCCAGCCACCTTGAAAGCAACCATTTCTCTGTGTCATTGTCATTCTTAATTGCTTTCTCTGTTGCCATCGTCTTCCCCCCAAATTCTATCTCGACCCTTCCATTCTCTGCCTTCGTTCATTCGGGCTGACGTAAAATTACGTAAGTTGACCATTTATTCATTTTTACAATGCATTTTTTTAAAATTATAGAGTGGAGTGTGATTTTGAATCCTATACTTATCTCTTAAAAACACTTTTTCTGTAACCAAGAGCCAATACATGTCAAAAGAGCACGTCAAGGTCAAGCGCAAAAAGATAATAAGGAAAGCTTGATAGGGTATGGCGGTTGTACCTAAACTAGATTTGCGATTTCAAATTTAATATAATGATGAGTACAATCAAGATATTTTGGGAACCTCAGGGTAACATCACACAGTAACGTATTAGAATAATTATATGTTTACGCGTAAAATAAATATTAGAAATTAAGCATAAAAAAATTAATACTTATCATCATGTTTAAATATTTGTATTTATGTAAAACTTTTTTTTATTAATTAATGGAGCTACACATTCTAAGAAAATCTAACTAAGACTGAAAATACAAATATTTAAAAAAATCTAAGTTCAATAAAGTGAACAAACAAAATGGACCCTTACTAAAAAAATAATTTTTTTTTTGTAGAATCTAAGTAAATTTTAGCAAAAATATCAGCACGTCTATTTCTATTCTTTAAGATATTTCTAAACTTAATAAAAAGAATTTTCTTTGAAGTGTTCATAATAATAGTAATAAAGAGAATGAAGAGTGGTTAGGTTGTATTGTTTAGAAATTTATATAAGAACCGATTTTCTTACACTGATATTTTAGATTAAATCATACTTTTTGTCTCTTATATTTACCCAAAATCTGAGTGTCTTTTTTTTTTTTTACTTATTTTAATTTCATTTGTTTTTTTAATGATATTAAAAAATTATCACAACTGATAAAAAGACCATATGTTTGATATTGTATAAGAACCTTCAGAATTTATTATACTAAAATAAAACCATCTAATTTAGCTACATTTACTTACACAACAATATAACCTTCTATTAGATAATAGATTATTTTAATTATTGTACTTTGAATGCATTGTGTAATAAAGTGAAAACATTAAATTTCCAATAAAAATTGAACAATTATAAGATGAGAGACGTTAAATTAAGTTTATAAATACTCTTTTTTTTTAAGATTATGTACAGTAATTAAAAAATATTGATATTCTAAATTTTATAAGAAGTTATTGCTTTATTTTTTTTATTATATTCATCATTATCATCATCCATTACATGAATTATCTCACTTATTTATTATCCTCTATCAAACAAACATTACTTATTAATATTTAAGAAGTTAAGATATTTAGCTATAAAACTTATATTTTAAACAAATTTATCATACAATTATCAAATAAAAATACATTGTACTTTTAATTTGTTTTTAAATAAAAAACACTTTATGTTTGTTCAACAGATTGATAAATTTAATTATTTCTTAATTTAATTAACAACTTCATTTCTCTTTTAAACAGCATAAGAAATTACTGCAGATTAAAACAAAATAAGCCCTATATATTAACCTTACTATGTTTACATTACATATAATTGATTTAATAAAAAAAAAAAATATGTGGGGAGGACAAGACTACTCATCTCCTTTTCGATCCGTCATTGTTGGGAGGGTTATATCATATTCTTAGAGTTAATTTAGTATAAATTTTGGATCATAATAAAAAATTTATCGGTCTAATAATTGGACTAATTGCTCTGACTGCCATATAACTTATAAAACGAGACTTGTCTACTAGAAGATAAGCCTAAGGTTATCCTTTACCAGCACTCAACTTTTAGAAAGTGCTTACTATAATTAATCCTT